ACCTGAGTGTTGGCTGATTCAATCTTTCCAGGCCAGGTGGTGAGATGGGTAGAGGCCTTTATTATGTAGGCCTCTGGCCTAGGCCTTAATGGCCCATTAGCAAAGGTGGTGGGGCTGAGTTTCTGCCTCCCTGAAGTTTCTATTTCTCTTTTTAGGGGAAATATTCTGCCTTTTTAATATTTCCCAGTATATTTCATTTTTCAAGGTGAGGGGTGGGTGCTAATTTCCTACAACACAATGACTAATTTAAAGGCAAATATATAAGACTGCAACAGTAGGCATGGCTTAAAAGTTGCTGCCATCTGCTTGGCAAATTATATACAATTGAAACTTCCATTATGTTGGTTGGTCCAAAGAATAGGAGGAAAATCCAAGGATTTACTGGTCTTAAAGAATAATTTATGATATCATAATTTTAATTATCAAATTTAACAATTATTAAGTTCAGATTTGCCTAGAGATATCCATTTTTGGAATAGGAAAGACAATTAGAACAATATTCTGCATATTTTTTCTAAAACATGTTACCTTTATTACTTCTTTTGATCATGAGCGGAGATATGCCCATTTATTATGCCCAAGGTAATTTTCCCCCTCAGACATGCATCTGAAAAACAGAAGAACTGAGAGAAGATTGTTTATAGCTTTTCTTTTCTATTAAAAGTTTTCTACTTAATTTAGAGAAAAATCACAGTTGTTGTGGTGTCCAAATGATAACACAGATCAAATCTCAGAAAGAAAGATTGGATACTCAAATCTGCCATCAAAATAAGCATAGAGATGCCTCCATTATTTCGGACTCAGTTATTTCTACCCACCCAAATTGCTTGTGAGCTATCACTGTGGTTATCTTGCCTCCCTAGTTATCAAAACATATCATTTCCACTAGTGGTGGGATTTAAAAAAATTTCTACCAGTTCTGTGGACGTGGCTTGGTGGGCATGGCAGGGGAAGGATACTGTAAAATCTCCAGGCAGAGGTGGTATTTGCTGGTTCTCTGAACTACTCAAAATTTCCACTACCGGTTCTCCAGAACTGGCCAGAACCTGCTGAATACCATCTCTGATTTCCACCTTGGTTATATTCCCCTCATTTCTACACTGTGAATATTTTATGTGGCTCAATTCCTGCTTCCTTTGATGAAGTAGAAAAGTGAGAAATCTGAACTGAAGAAGCTTCTTGGATGAGAAATGAAACATCTTCAAGGAAAAACCAATAAAATCCAGTTGCCTTTTGAACAAGAACCTTTGGGTCAACCATGCCTTGGATGACTGAGAATCTCCATAGACATGTATCCCTGAGGAGGACCTGAAGCAACCCCACTTTTATTCACAGAGTGAGCCACTTGATTTGAGCCTTTTGATTGACTTGAGGCAACAAACCTCCAGTAATATTTCCTCAAGGTGGATTTCTCATAATGAATGTTCCTTTTGGGATATATACAGGGGTGGGATTCTACCAGTCTGCACCTATTCGCTAGAATCGGTTGTCAACATTCTAAGCAGTTTGGAGAACCAGTTGTTAGAAGAAATTACTGGCCTAATCCTGTAAGGAAGGCAGGAAGGAAACATTCTGGTGTTGCTTACAGAAACTGCCTCTCCATTAACCCTTATTATATTCTTGGCAGGACTAGACTTTCTGTCTCAGGAACTTCTCTGGAGTTTTTTTTCCTTCCTTTGCTGGTACTTTGCTTGTGTGGAGTGACCATTCAAAGTTACAATGGCACTGAAAAAAGTGACTTATGACCATTTTTCACACTTATGACTGTTGCAGCATCCCCACAATCATGAGAGGCCAGGCGAGGAGATGCGTGCCTCGATGTGAGTGATATTGAGTTGGCCACACCCAGCCAATAACATGACCACCAAGCCATATCCACCCAGTCACATGACCACCAAACCATGCCAACCAACTAAGCCACGCCCACAGAACCGGTTGTTAAAAAATTTGACTCCCACCCCTGGATATATATGTTAACTATAATTAATTGGCAAGCTAAATTACATTCCAGCAATCCCATACAGTAGGTCAGAGGTGTCAAACTGGCGGCCTACGGGTTTTACTGTTTGTAAAAGCAAAAAGTTGTATTTGTACTGTTGTTACCTTTGACTGTGCCAAAGACAGTCGAATGTTGGTGCTTTTTTCCTTGTTTTCTCCCATTACACTATATCCTCACTTTTTGCCTTCCTTTTTTCTTACTTTTCCATGTTATTTTTTTTTTTTTGTATTTTATACTTTGATAATCTAATAAAATGTTTTAACAGATGAAATGTCATGTGATGGCAACATGACGCCACAACTTTGACACCTGTGCGGTAGGTAATAGTCACAAAATATAAAAAAACAAAAAAAACAGTGTACTGTAAGTGTATCAGTTGTGGTGATGCTAACTTGCCTATACAAAGTAGTCCTTGATTTAGAACCATTCATTTAGTGACTACTAAAAGTTACCATGGCACTGAAAAAAGTGACTTTCATCCAATCACTCACCCTTACAACTGTTCTAGCATTCCCATGATCAAAAAGGAAGCTGGATTAGCTTAACAACCATGACATTTGCTTAACAATTGCAATGATTTGCTTAACAACCATAGCAAGAAAAGTTCATAAAATTGGACATGACTCACTTAACAACTACCTTGCTTAGCAATGGAAATTCTGGTGCCGATTATGGTCGTAAGGCCAAGGACTGCCTTTATATATTTGCAAGAAGTCTCTAGTACAGGTAGTCCTTGACTTATGACCACAACTGAGAGCAGAATTTCTGTTGTTCAGTGAGACATTTGTCAAGGGAGTGTTGTCCCATTTTATGACCTTTCTTGGCGCAGTTGTTAAGTGAATCACTCTAGTGACACGGTTGTTAAATGAATCCGGCTTCCCCATTGACTTTGTTTGTCAAAAGGTTGCGAAAGGGGATCAAGTAACTCTGGGACATAGCAATGGTGAGAAGTATGAGCCAGTTGCCAAGTGTCTGAATTTTGGACGTGCGATCATGGGGATGCCACAAAGTCACAATTATAAAGGTTTCAACTGTAAAAAATGATCCCAAGTAACTTTTTATGGTGACTTTGAGCAGTCACTAAATGAACTGTTGTAAGTTGAGGACTACCAGTAATTGCAGGACTATTAAATATTGGAGAACTGGTTATGAAGCAGCTGCTAGTTCACATAGGTCACATAGCCCAATGCTCTGATTTAGTATAAGAAGTTTCTAAATACACAAAGTTCTCGAAAGCTGGAGTAGCAAGCATTCAGTAAGCAAAGACAATGAAAGCATCTCTTCTGTTTTCAGCGTACTGAATATATAACACAATGATACCCAGACCGACTCTGGCTATACAAGAAGCAACTTGAGGAGTTCTCTAGCTTCCCCAGGATCATAGTAGGACTGGCACAACCTTCCTAGTGCATCTGGATAAGTCTTTCCATCTTCATGTATCACCTCAGCCAGGGAAAAATAAACCGGAAGAATTTTTATAAAACTTCCAGAAGCTACAATTCAGTCAAGACCGTGACTTCAGAATTCATGTCATCTCCAGGAGGAATTCTTGTTTCCAAGGTTGACATCTCCACTTCTAGTCATACCTGCTGGTTAGTCCTGTCCATTGTATGGGCACTGGAGGCATGCTCACGGGTGTGCTGACGGATGCGGGTGGAGTTTTGCTGTTCAATGGTCGAAGTTGTCGGGATACAGAATTCCCTGAAACATCTTTTGAAGTTTTCATCTAGGAAGGCGTAAAGGATGGGATTGAGACAACTGTTTGTGTATCCTAATGCAATACAGAAGTGCCAGGAGATGGTTTGGAAAGTAGTTTCTGGAATATGGATCAAGGCTTTGATGATGACATAAATGTGGATCGGAGTCCAGCAGACAATGAAAACGGCCACAACCACAAGAACCATCCTGGTGATTCTCCGAAGATTTCTGTCCTTTTCCTTGGAGCCAGAGAGCATTCGGACACTCTTCAGGCGTAAAATCATCAATCCATAGCAGACCGTTATGATTAAGATGGGCATGATGAAGGCAAAGATGAAAACACAGATTTTCAGTAGGTTCTCCCAGTACCAGGCTGGATGCGAGAACTTAAGCGTGCAATCAATAGATCCTATGAAAATTAAAAGAAGACAAATGAATTTAAGCAAATTTCTTTCACTGTTATTGTCCCTCCACCCCCTCCCAAGAACAAGTGATAAGAAACCATTGCTTTTACGTAACTTGAAATGAAACCTACTTGCAATCTTTGTTTTGTGAACAAAACAAAGTGTCACCGCCACCATTGGGAGAAAAGATAACACAAACAGTTTGTATTAATCTAAAAACACATCTATTCTTTATTGATTGATTAACCATATTTACGTGGCCACCCATCTCACACAAAGCAACTCTGGGTGACGTTCAATAATTGAATAAAACAGCAGACAAATAAAAACAGCCATCTTTCAAGATAAAAAGTAATTGTTTAAATAAGCATATCAGTTTTAAAAAAATTAAATCTACAAACCAGGGAAAGAGCAAGTATTGTCTCCAGTTCTCAAATTCCTTAGGACATAACCAGATTTTGAAGGATTTCTTAAAGTAGTTAAGCCTTGCTTCGGGTGGGGACAATGTTTCACAAGGAGGGTGCCATGGCAGGGAAGACCCATCTCTCTGGGACCTACCAAATGCAAGTCCCTGGCCATAACACTTTTTTCTTGCCAGATCTAATGAGACTCTTCTTCTTCTTCTTGTGCCATATCCATCATCGGACATTGGTGATCATGTTGGCGATCCTATTTTTATCAACTATTTTTATCCTATTTTTATTTTCTGGGTGTAGCATCACATGACCTGTAGTAGCAATAGAGATCCTGTAGATGGCGAAAGCAACAAACTGCTAATACAGGGGCCTCTTTGCATGATCTCACTCCCTACTATCTTGGGCTGGAAAGTCCCAGACTTGTCCATGATCTCACCTTACTAACATCACCACTATTCTTAAGGATTGGTTGAGGGGATTCACCAATCCAAATGCTGTATCTATGTTGCCTTTGTCTACTTGTAAAAACCCTATAAAAGGTAATAAATGCTGCTCGGGCAGTCAGACATCTTTGCACACTGAAATGACTGGTTATTGAACTCCCACAATGTCCAAAATATTGTAACTTTTGCTTTTTTACGGTTTTGATGATTTCCTTGACTTTCCCAGGTGGCTTATCTAATGAGACAGTCCGATGTAATGAGGGAGAGAGAGAGATGTAATTGGGTAATTTGAGGGAGAACTGTAGACAGAAGCTTTTTTAAGGATGCTTGAAAAATCTGATTTTTGCAAAGTTAGTTTGAAGTCATATTGTTAAAAGAAAAACAATTAAAATAGAAGCTTCTCTTTAACTCTTTAACTCTTGGAAACTTCCTGGATATCAAAATAAAAAACATTTCTCTTCTACAAAACATTCTTCTATAATGTTTTGTGTGATTTTATTTCCCAGCGTAATGTATAATTGTGTTATTTCCTGATAGTCTCCCACTCAGACAGTACCAGGCCAAACGATGGTTAGCTTTTTAAAAAACCACTCAGCATTGTCTAAATGTTGCCACGTGATTGGAGTGAAACATGGTTGCTTTTTTCAAATTTTGCATTGTACTTCTTCCTTTAAAATGGACTTAAAAATTTCCATATGTGAATAGTTATTTATATATGGCTACATTTATATAAACATATAAATAAATGCATATCTATCTACAGGGTTTCACACACACCCCGTCTAAAACACTTGTTATATTAATTTTAAAATTCTGCTCACATTAATGCAAGATAGCATGGCTTTATTAATAAATGAATAAATTGAGAGAAGCACAAATGGTCCGGTTTATCTATTAGTATTTCTTAAATATCTGACATTTAGACAGTATTCTTATATACACTTAGTCCAAAGTAAAGCCTCATCAAACACAATGGAATTTACACCCAACGGTTGAGTAGTCCTTTCCACTGTTACATTCTGATACTTAGTTAAGCACTTGGGAGTATTTCCATTAAACTCAATTGTTTTATTGAGGAGGCAGAGATGGAAATGCATTTCTTCAAGTGAAAATGCCCAAATCTGAGACTTTTTCTAGTAACCAATGCCTATTTTAAGTAATGTTAAAATTTTTGCATATTCGTGAAACTCTTGGTTCTCTTCCCTTCCTTCTTTCTGCAGAGTATCCGGGCCTTTCAAACTATACTTCTTGGTCTCAGGTTGAAGGGTCATTCTGAAATAAATCTTGAACCTAAATTGATAGACAGTTTGAAGGGATGCCTAGGAATGCCTTTCTGGGAAGATGGAGGGAGAAAACACAAAAATTGAAAAAAGCAACCCGTCAGCCCAGGAAAGGTAGGAAGCATGAGAAAACAACTTAAAGTAACTCTGTCTTAATTAGGTGTAAAGTGATCTGGAGAGTTTAGCAGGCTTTCAGGATTAATGTCAAGCCCCGTAAGGCAGGTAATTTTGGAAATAAGAACCAGTTGGATTTCTGGAAATATATTTCCTGTTAGTAGGGCAAAGTATAAAATCAGAGAGAGGGAGGGAGAGAGAGAGGGGGGGGAGGGAGGGACGGAGGGGGGGGGGAGGGAGAAAGAGAGAGGGAGAGAGAGAGGGAGACACAGAGAGAGAGACAGAGAGAGAGAGACAGAGAGAGAGAGAGAGAGACAGAGAGAGAGGCTTACATTTAGAAAACAGCGAGTTTCAAAAGGCACAATAATTCTTTATTTAAAATATGATAAATAGCATAATTGCAGTCCTGGTACAGTTCCTGATTCTAATTTAGCAATAGCAATAGCACTTAGACTTATATACTGCCTCACTGTACTTTACAGCCCCCTCTAAGTGGCATACAAAGTCATTAAATTGCTCCCAACAATCTGGGTTCTCATTTTACAGAGGTGGTATTCAGCAGGTTCTGACCAGTGCTGGAGAACTGGTAGTGGATATTTTGAGTAGTTCAGAGAACTGGCAAATACTACCTCTGACTGACCCTTCCCCCATCTATTCTGTGCCTCCTGAGTCCCAGCTGATTGGCTGGGTCTTCTTTTGTTGCCCTGCCCAGGAAAATGGAGCTGGAAAGCAGGTTAGTGGGGTGGGGAGGGAATGGGGATTTTGCAGTAACCTTCCCCTGTGGAATGGAGTGAGAATAGAGATTTTACAGCATCTTTCCCCTGCCATCCCCTCCAAGCCCCATCCTGCCCCGCCTACCAAGCCATGCCCACAGAACTGGTAGTAAAAAAATGTGAACCCCACCACTGCCTCAGAAGGATGGAAAGCTGAGTCAACTCCGAGCCAGTGAGGATCGAACCTCTGGCAGTCAGCAGAATTAGCCTGAAATCCCTCATTCTAACCACTGTGCCACAATGGCTCTTCCCAATTTGTTTTGGAACTACTACCTTAGGAATTTGTTTCCTCATAAACCTGCCCCAGACCCAGCTATGGGCGTTCAGGTAAAGAAACATTCAGTGTCCATTTGAAGGCAAGAAAAGAAATTCTAACTTACCATTACTCTCTTTGGTGGTTGCCATCACCATCACTGGAATGCCAATTGCTGAAGAAATAATCCAGTTACACACGTTGACAATCTTGGCATTTCGAGGGGTGCGGAAATCCAAAGCCTTGACCGGGTGGCAAACTGCTATGTAGCGATCGACACTCATGGTGCAGAGAGTGAAAATACTTGTGAACATGTTATAGTAATCTATGGATATTACAATCTTGCAAATAGTGGTACCGAATGGCCATGTTCCCAGCAGATAATTCACGCTTTGAAATGGCAGCGTACTTGTTGCTAAGGCATCGGCTAGAGCAAGGTTGAAAATATAAATGTTGGTGGCGGTCTTCATTTTGGTGTATCTAAAAAAGGTCAACAAAGTTGGGGCATGAGACTGTGAGCAGAGATCAAGTGAAACTGCTACAATAGGCTAGCAATTAACTCAGCTGCAAAAGCCGGAGCTTCCCTTGAATTAAGCGTATCATTGTATTTTTATATAAAGAATCAACAAAATGGTTTTTAATTAACAAAGAAAGTTGACAAGAAGGATCTTTCCACCATATAAATATGCCAGCTCTTTCTGTATGCCAGGAAAAAAAATTAGAAATAGTTTAATTTTTTTCCTTTGTCTAATGTAGGATATCTTAAATGCACAGTACTTTAACATTAAATCATCTCACAAGAGTTTTTGTGCCTTTATATTAAAATCCAGATCTTCAATAAGATGTGTATCAAGCAAAACTAGTATCAAAAGATTATAAAAATTGGTTTAGCTCAGCACAGCATTTGCACAAAAAGTTAACCACATTTATATACAAAAAACCACATGTAAAATAATTTGTTTAAGAGAACCACCTGAATTACCGCAAAGAATAAGAAACAGAATTGCCTATTTCTTACAGCTAAAGTGGCTTCATGTTGAGTCACAGCAACACAAGTCTCGACAATAAGCAACACTTCTATAGAAGCAGGGTTTTACCACACCAGACAGGACCTGAGGTGCAGATTGCAGAGAAAGGCCTCAGAGCCAGTCCCCAAAATAGCACCAGAGTGTAAGATGCAAGCAGGAAGACCATATGCTGAACAGTGCAACCAAATATCTGGCATTCTGTACAGGAACCTCTGCAAAGGGACTAGTCCCTCCCAAGTCCAGGAAGATTCTACAGAGGTTCACGGAGAATAACAGGGCTATGTGGGACTTCCAGTTAGAGGTGGACAGGCAGGTACATTGTGGTAGAAGCAGGGCTTTATCACATGAGACAAACATCGTGGTAGTAGATAAGGACCAGAAGACAGTGAGGGTGATAGATATAGTGATGCCAAGTGACTTCTTCTCAGGAAGAAAAAGTACGAGAAGCTGGAGAAGTACAAGACCTGAAAAAAGAACTAGAAAGATTGTGGAACATAAAGGCCAAAGTGGTCCCAGTATACTCAGGGTTGTGACTCTTAAATTAGGAGAGTGACGCCAATAAATCAAAGACCAACGACATTGTGTCCAAGATACAAACTCCCTGGTCTCTGGCAGAAGACATGAGTGACAAAGGCATATACCACCCATAGGGATGAGAAGGTGTTTTTTATGATTGATGGATATTTTTAAATAGACAGACAGAGATAACACCATATTCTTCTAGCAAGAAACTTTTAAAGTCAATGCATATATTCCTGGGTTAGATTTACATAGGTAAGATCTTATTCCAAAATCTGAATATTTATGAAGCCTTATTTAACAGTATATTTGTCAGTTCCCTGAGGTTTTCCAACCTAAGAATAAATTTATGGTTAGAACATTTCATCCTTCCTAGCTCTAAGATCCACAGATCTGTTTTCACCGCATTATAATATAGGAATTAGGGTCAGGAATACAGAATGCATCTTAACAAATCAGTTTTTGGTCTTCTTCTCTGAATCCTTCTTGTTTAATTGCCCTATGCTTTGTCTTGAATCATTAATATTCTTATTCAAATTAAATTGTGCAGGTGCTGTCTCATCTTGACCCAATGCAAATTAAATTGACTGCATCCTTCAGCTCTTCTGTCCTTAAGGGAAAAATAACAACCAATTTCAATTTGGGTCAATAAGAAATCAACTGCTTTAAAGTCTAAGGTTATTTTTTTTCACTAGCATAGGAAAAGTACACCTTGTTTTAATTTATTTTGTTTGCTTTTCAGCAGAATGAAAACATTCCGATTTAGACTATCCCATTTTAGAGAAAAAAGTAGGTTGGCTTGCACAGGAGACTTTTATCATCATCATCATCATCATCATTTCCTCCTCCTCCTCCTCCTCCTCCTCCTCCTCCTCCTCCTCTCTTGTTTTAGAGAGATTTGAGAGATTTAGATAATACTTGCAGGCAAATTTCCCCCTACTGTAGAAGTGGTTTTTTTTTAAAAAAAAACATCAGATATTTAAGCTGAATCATTTTTATGGACAGCAAAAAAAGTGGGATTCACAAATTCTCTACTGGACAGTGTTAGAATTATAGAATGGAAAGTTGAAAGAGACCTTGGAGTTCTCTATTTAAACACCTCTAGCAAAGGGAACCCTTCATCTCTTGACACAGTCATATCACTATTGAATAGCTTTTACCATTAGAAAAATATTCCTGTTCTTCAACCAATATCTATTTCCTTGTAAGTTAAACTTTTTGTTTCTCATCCTGTAGATAAATTACTATGGTAAGTAGATTGGATTGGAGGAGGCTTTCTACTTTCCTTGGAATCCTGCTTGAAATTAGTGGGTTGAAGAGCAATTATGTCTGCAATTGGGGAAATCCTTATTTAACAAGCTTGCCGTTATTCCATTACTTGCAATGTCCATTTCCTGGTTACTTGGGAGTCTGAAAAGCTATGATGTCCTGCATTTATCCTTAGTTGTATCAATTGACTCAAGATTATACATTTTCCATTAGCCCTTCTCAAGTCGTAAAACTGAATTCATTACATGCCCAAGACAAACAAGCAAGCAAATGTATTTTGCAAAATTAATTCCATTTAATAGGAAAGGAATAGCATCTATCACAACTCACTAGCCAGAGTAGTTAAGTATGTCTATGTTGGCGTAACTGAGAGTTAAGAATAAATAATAATGTAACTGACACATCTCTATTTATTCTAATAATACTTTTGACTTTTGCACTAGAAAGAAATCCACACTAAGCTATAAAAATTCTCTTGGTGACTTGGGGCCAGTCAACCCTTTTCCAGCTCAACCTACCTATTAAATGTGTTTTTGGGGAAAATGTAGGATAAAGCTCCTGGAGGAAAAAGAATAACATAAATATAACAAATATATAGATAAATACTATTTTAATGCTCTTCTCCATTTTCTCCATATTTCATTTTATATAATTGGTTTGGATATGTTCCATTTGTTCTGTTTTATACTGGTAAACTGTTTCCCTTCCACCCTCTAGAAAGAATTGTGGCAGTCTGTTAAAGTAGATATGACTTCCTCTTTGTAAAGCAATGCACATATTACTTTATTGCTGCCAGGCTAGAATAGGAAAAGATAAGGAAGCCAAGAGTTGTATTTGAAAATGGGTTTCCTATGAGCAGAGTTTTTATATTAAAAAATGCATTTTTGCTTCGTTACTTTCTCACAATTTTGTTTCATGAGTTTTGTTATATATTTATGACAGGAGCTAAATGACAGGCAATATTTCTTCAATGTATTTATTCATTGCAATTCTAGCATTGCAATCATGCACTGAGGGAAACCCAGCAAGATCCTGGAAAAGATAATCAAGCAACAGATCTGTAAACCCCTAGAAACCAACATCAGTTTGTCAAAAGCAGATTATGTCAGACTAAACTCTTTGACAAAATTACTAAATTAGTGGACCAGTGAAATGCTTTGGACGTCGTATATTTGGACTTCAGCAAGGCATTTGATAAGGTACCCAGACCACAGCCTACTTTGTGATAAGATTTAAAAAAATTGTGCTGATTAGTATCATTACCAGATGGATTCGTAACTGGTTGACCAACAAAACTTAAAGTGTATTCCTCAATTGAACTATATCTACCTGGAGGGAGGCCAATGCCTCCCTGGCCATGACGATTGGTCACGAGGATACAAAAAATGGTATTGAGACTCTAGAACATTGGTTCCCAACCTTTTTTTCTCCCCGCACCCCTAAAGAAATTTCACTTGAACCTCACACCCCCTGAAATAAATAATAAATAAAAATGCCAACATATAGCCAATATCCTATTATTTACCTGGACTTTTCTCGCACCCCCTGTAATATCGTCTCGCACCCCCGGTTGGGAACCCCTGCTCTAGAATGAGTGTAGAGAATAACAACAATAATTTGAGGATAAAACACATGATGAATGGTTGCAGGAACTTTGTGTAAACTTGGTTTAACAAAGAAAAGGACTAGGAATGACATGATAGCAGTCTTCCAGTATTTGAGTGGTTGCCCCAGAGAGGAAGGAATTGTTCTATTTTCTGAAGCACCCGAGAGAGTATCAGTTGGGAACTTATCAAAGAGAGATCCAACCTAGAACTAAGGAGAAATTTCCTGACAGTGGGAACAATTAATTAATTAATTACTTAACTATTAATTAAGGAACAACTTGCCTCCAGAAGCTTTTGTGGTGGGTAAGGCATAAGAACGTTGTTATGCTGATCCATATCAACTTTATGTGCCACTTGCCCTGAAGATGACTAAAAAGAAAAAAATGAGGTAGAAGGTTTTGATGCTTGTCTCCTAGTCCCAGGAAATGACAACAAGATATCAAACCATATTTGAAATAAGTGCTTGGAAATAGTTATTTTTATAGTGCTTCATGTTTCAGGAATGACCTGCTTTAGAGAATCTTCCCGTACAATTTTAGACAGTGTATCACACAGCATAAGGGCCTGTACAGTTTCATTAGTCAGTATTTCAGATCCTTTTTCTTCAAGATCTCATTAAAAAAAATCTTGCATTAAATAGTCTTCCAAAGGCCTATTTATTTTGGAAGACTTTGTGTGTGTTGAGGCATTTAGTAGGTTCTTAATTTACGTGCATTGAATTTTTTCTTCCCCAAATGGACAGCATATGAAAGAGAAGCGGGGGGGGGGGGGGAAGGGAGGGAGATGTTGGTAATAATTTGAGTTTCAAGATTGCGCTAAGCCAGATTTTGTTTAACTCTGTTTTCTGAAAAAAATTACAATATTGTGGAATCCTGAAACACTTTAAATAGAAAAACATCATTTAGAAACTACAGTTGCTCTGCCAAAAGCATAACAGTTTCACATGATGCATGAATTTATCCATCAAAATTGTTACCACAAGATATGGTTATAGCTGCTGCCTTAGAAGGCTTTAAAAAGGTATGATATAAATTGATGGAAGATGAACCCATGGTCTGCTATTACTATCTGGAAATATTATACTCAAAATTACCCTCTTATCGTTTGAAAATAAAATCAGTAGTGTGGGTCATAAACATCATGCTTCACTTGTGAAATTTCAAGAGACATTTGGATACATGTCCTTGCAAACATAATATTGGATGAAATTGCCTATGTAACTCATCAATATATCTTCCTGACTTGTAAAATGTTGCACTTAACAGAAGGCCAAGAACTTAGATTATCTTTTCATGACTCACAGAACTTCTATGAAAGATCTGAGTTGCAATGGAGACTTTAACAATGACTTCCCCAATCCTTCCATTCTCTTATCATTCTGCACTGGTATTGTTCTAAAAGGTTATTCAATCACCAAGAACAATTTGTGAGGAAGCACAAATCTGTGAAATTCCCTTCCTCTTTGTTTAAATGGGTGTGTCCCATGAGTAGAATTTCATTCATTGGAACTCTGGATGCAATCCATATAATTTGCATCCTCTGCCCTTAGCTGAACTCCTCTCCCAAGTTAGTATGCTTCAGTTTTGAGCCAAGGCATCTACATGCAAAACAAGAAGGGGAGGGAATGACATTTTAGCCAAGATGTTCAAATGTATTTGAAAACTATGTTCTCTGCAATTTATAATGGGAAATCAAGTTCAGAATTCTCAGAAGGCTGCAACACGGAATTTAAAACCAACCATTTAAACATCATTGGAATTATTTAAAATCTGAGTTCTGCTAAAATATGCCTTTAAATATAGCCATGAATTACATTTAAAAAAGCCTACATGATATAATGCCAATCTAGATTGTGAGCTCCTGCTTTTACAGAAATAATATCCAACTCCTTCCCTTTTTAATCTATGTATTACTAAAGAAATATATATATTTTAAAATATAATAGGCAGTACTGGAGTCTAATTCTCAAAGTATGTGGTTCTGTTCCCAACCAAAACGATAGGTCAAAATAACGAAAAGTGTATGTCATGATAGAAGCTCCATCCTTTCATGTTTGTATTACAACAACACCCACCAATATGCCATGGACAGAGTCTTCATTGTGACATTGCAACAACAACACACATTTTACCATTTCCCCTCCTCCTGCGTGTCTCAAAAGCCCTTCCCCCACCCAAGGACAAGGTCTCCCAAGGAGTCATTTGTATCTTCTAGAGATATCTTCACATGGAGCCTTTGAAACACACAGGAGCAAGGCAAGGGGTAAAATATGTGTTGCAATGTCACAATGAAAACTGCCATAAGACTGTATTCCTGACTAAGGAAATGATGACGGCTTTTATATTTTATGTGTTTCTTATGTCCTTGGGCCAGATGGGAACTCTGAGCTCTAAAAGAAATAAAATTAGCCCCAGCCAGTGGTGGGATTCAAATGTTTTTACTATCCGTTCTGTGTGCGTGGCTTGGGCAGGAGAAGGATACTGTAAAATCTCCAGTCAGAGGTGGTATTTGCCGATTCTCTGAACTACTCAAAATTTCCACTACCGGTTTTCCAGAGCTGGTCAGAACCTGCTGAATACCACCTCTGGATTCAGCCATAGGTATGTCTCTGGAGGAAATGGAAGTAAAATGAGGGATTGAGGGCATGTAAAATGGCGATTCTGTGTTAGGTAACAGTGT